GTGCAGTGAAAGTCAGGAAGAATGCACAGCAGTGCACGAGAATTGTTAAATGAGTTGGGAATGGTGCATGGGGATGAGTGTGGTTGTGGGAAAGGTGCTATATGGGTCAGGGGTCAGGCATGGGTGTGGTTTTGTTCTGGAAGGGTGCACAGATTAGCAGGTTGCATAGCTGGGGGAGACTTATCCAAGCAATTTATGATATTTCCTGCCAGTTTCTTGACTGTCAACACTCCCTGACAGCTTCCCACAAGCAAAGATTTTCTTTGCAATCATGGTCAAGTGCTGGCTTCTCCATTGACTTGGAAGAAACTGGCAGAGTGAGTTTGAAATGATGGTCACATGATGACGTCTGACTGCAGCAGTGCAGTGGCTGCAACCTTTTCAAATTTCCTTCCCAAGGGAATGATGGGTGCCAGCATTCTGTAATTTAGCCCTTTTGAGGTATCTTGGTTGAAAAATTGATGTCCTGTTGATGGTTGATGATTACAGGCAGACATGAGAGAGACAGTACTGTATAGATACAGAGAATTCCATGTTCTTCAGTAAAAACTCTAGGAATGTCTGCATAAATTGAAATCTTGCCAATAATGTTTAGAAATGCTAACAAGGGAAAAAGTGAAAGTAAAATCTTCTGCTGCCTATTATCAAATGTTCCCCATTAGTACCTATTGTTGCCCTATAAAACCCCAGCCATACTGTTCAACAACTTTTTCCAATCCAATGAAGAGGCTTGAAAAAACTGGGGGTGTGGAGTGGGAAGATAAGTTACAGAAATGAACATTTCTTTAAAAGGAGGAATGTACATCCATATTACATACTTACAAAGAGAAAAAGTGAGAGGAGGAAAATGTATCTTCACAAATAAAGCAACATTTAAGAGCATTTTTAATTTCAGTTCTAAAATAAAAATGTCATCAGTGATATGTACCATGCAAGAAAATATTAGTAAGAAATGTACATTTTGAAAAAGCTTTAAGTTGCAGATTTTACTATATTCTAATTTAAGGGTAATTAAGTGATATCTGGAAAGTTAGTAAATTAATGATGATGTACTGTAACTTCAAAGTGGTTATGAAAATTCAACATTATTGGAAAGGCCATTTAGAAAGCTAACATTTTGTGGTTATAATGAATGTTTTCATCTTCCTTGTGTATGTATGATAACATTAGAGCGAACAGTTACATTACCAGATGGATAGGTGACAGAGAAGAAAATAGATCGACCATCTCAGGGATTAAATTTTCTGGTAAAAAAAATCTCCTTCCTTCAATTTTTAAAATAAATTACATATTGCTAAATTGTTAATGAACTGATTATTATCTAGTTATAACTTTGCTGGGAGAGAAAATGTATTTCTATTATTTTGGAGGAGGATATACAAGTCTTTAGAAAAAATAATAACGAATCTATGCATTTCTCTACTAATGTCTTATGGATATTAATAAAGAGCTAACAGCTGTAAATGAATTAATTAATTACTAAATAATTAAATAGTATGGCAACTGAGTAAGGGATATCTGATTCCAGCTAGCTCAATTTAGCAAAAACATCATGGTGATCAAATTAATAAATAGACAAATGTTAATAACTTTGAATTTGCCATTTTTACATGTAAGGCAAAAGAAATATATGGAAAAATATATCTAACAATGTTTTCAAATGTTAGCTACAATGTACGCAATATTCTCTATACCAAGTTTTAATTGTCAAGTTATATAGCTAAATACGAACAATAAAAAACCTATCCATAAATAACTTTACATAAATTGTTTGTTTTTTTTAAAAAAATGCTAAGTAGAATGAACAGAAATTACCTTCTGTTGATGGTATTTCCCAAATTTTTATAGGGAGTGACCTTATAGATGACAAAACATCAGGAATGATGACTGTTAGTGCAACTGTGCGGAATTCTGTGGGGGTGAAAACCAGGCTTGGTTCGTAGGCAATTTTTTCAAGTTCGGTACGGTCAGCATTTCGGGCTCCCACAGCAAGGACCACGATGCCATTCTTTTTAATTTCTTGCGTTGGTTGGACAACATCATCTCTGGACACACCCCCAGTGATCAGAATCAACATGGGAAGGACACCTTCATCAATCCTGGCTCCAGCGGCGCTGGTGAAGAAGTTGTCTTTAACAAACCGCAATGCCGAGCCTGTATTAAGTGTAGTACCACCCATTGGTTTTATTTTCCTAACATTGGTGGCAATGTCTTTTTTCGTCTGGAAGCTATTAAAATAAAATTCTGGTCTTACAGAATCTGCATATTGTGCCACTGCAACTTGAATGAGATCTGGTCCAATTTCCATTCTGTTGATGATTTTGGCCACGAAATCACGAATTGCATTAAAGGGGGCGGATCCCAATGCAGTAGAACCATCTATCAGGAAGACTATGTCTCTCTTATTGACTTCAACAACTGTAAGCAACAATATATAAGCAGTCAGTGTGTTTACTCATTCAAGGACACTAATTCATTCTGAATCAATACATGCACATATTAGATAAACGCTCCTATTTGTTGTACAAGACATTTACTTTAATTGTTGAGTTACAGTACATTCAAATATATTCAATCTAACTTTATGTTTATGATTTGTTGCATGTCAGTATTTCTGCTTAAAATTCATGGGTAATATTCATGCAACTACATTTTTCTGGCTTTACAGTAGAATAAAACCAAAGCCTATAAAATTTTGCCTTCCCTCCCATTTCTATGCATGGAAAGAACAAGAGAAGATAACTAAACAACTTTATAACAGGAAAACATACCTAGGTCCAAAACCTGCAGGAAACCATTATAAGTAAGTGAACAGATTTATGAATGAGCACACAATTTCAAGAATAAGTTAAAAGGATTTGACACTACCTTGCTGATATTCCTATTAAAAAATAAATTAAATTAACCTATCACCTGGAAATGACATGGTAATGGCTCTCATATGGAATAGAGAAGAAAGCTTTATTATTGCAAGATCATGTACTTCTATACAAACTGCCCCCAAAAGTTTCCACCGGGATCCTTTTGCCCAGTCTGTCACAAACATGCTTAACTTCAACAATAACTTCCACTTTTCCTCAAATATGGAACAATATGCTATGGTAGGTTAGTCTGATTCATTGCCCTCCTCCTCTGTTATACTTTAAGATGGGGCTGAAAATATTTTTGGGGGTTAAAATAGTTTTAATTGCTATATTTAATTTTACTTTAGATAGACGTTTGTATGCTACTTTAAGCCAGAGGATAGGTTGTCAGCATGTAAAGGAATGAATGAGTTGAGTGAGTGAATGAATGAATGAATGAATGAATGAATGAATGAATGAATGAATGATGCAGAATGAACTCAGCACCGTGGAAGCAAATTATCTATTGGCATCTATAAGAAATAAATAATACACATATGTGTTTCAGACTATACATATCCAGCCCCAATAGAAGAATAACTCAGCACGTTATTAAGGAAGTTGTTGACATGATAGTAGCAAGTCAACTACAGAGTATCCTAAATGAAGCGGATTATTTGAATCCTCTTTAGTCCAAAAATGGCAAATATGATTCTGACTCAGATGTGAAATTCACACCAATCACTTTCAACTCCAAAAGATCTGTTACTCTGGGATGTAAAAGAACTAATAGAAAGATTCAACTATCAACTTTTGAGATGACAGATAAGAGTAACTACTGCACTTGGAAGAAGGATAACATGCATCTTTCCTGTTTTCATATATATACTTTCATTTGTCCAGCATAAAAAATAGGTAAACACTCAATAATTGTGTTTTTCACAATCTTAAGAGCAGATTTAATTTTAGAGCTGGAATATTGCCATAAAATATTGTATACAGCCCATCATGATTGAAAAATTATTTAATTATTAAACATTATGGGAATATAATAAATGCCTGTAGTTTTAGAACTTTTCCTCTTTTGGTTCGTTCCTGGGGCCGAGGACTGCCAGTACAATCCATCCTGAGAGATCCTCCCTGAATGGATTTGGGGGGTCTTAAATAAGTAGCACTTGGCCTCCAACCATTTTTCACACACACACACACACACACACACACACACACACACACACACACACACACGTATATATATATGTATAGATGTATGTATGTATATGTATATGTATATGTATATGTATATGTATATGTATATGTATATGTATATGTATATAAACAGTAGAAAAAAACAAACTCCAGGATAACTGTAAAAAACAACTGTTTATTAGCTAAGCTTTCGTCGGTTCCCTGCCAACGTCATCAGAGTAAAAAAACAGAGATTTGAAAGTCTGCTTATAAAGCCGGCTGTTTCAGCGCTCTGCTCATTGAGCGCATCACCGGTCTACCTGCCCCGATTGATGTATTCTCTCTAGTTGCGTCGCATCCGCCTGCGTACTTTTAGATTCCAGTGCCTCCTCTCCTCCCGTTATTGCCTTCCCTTCCTGCTCTGCTCGTATCTGGATGTTTATTATTGTTGTCAGAGCGCCCTCCGGTTTATCTCATCTTGTGGCTCTCATCAGGTGTTGTGTATTTGCATATGGTAATGTTCCTCCCATCGTATGCGTCACCCTATTGTCACTTGGCTCTTGAACAAGTTGTGTTGATGTTTCCTCCTTTGCACTTGTTGTAATTCCTTGCTGTTGCATGACTAGGCAACTTTGATCTTGTCTACCCCCCTCCCTCCTATGCGTGGGCAGTGCTCTTTGTACTCATTGTGAGTTCTTGCGTTGTTGCTCATATTTTCTTAGTGCCTGGTAAGCCGGCAGTAAGTCTATGTGGTGGTTAATTGAATGTTTGTTTGATAGCCAGGCCTCTTTGAGTAATCAGCCACCTTTGGAAATGTCCTGGGCAATGGCCTCCACTCCTGCAAGATCAAATGAGTGGTAGTTGCTGGCCATATGGGTCCACACCTGTGAATGTTGCTCGTGTCATCTAATGGCCAATTTATGCTCATGGATCCTGTCTTGAGTCATTTAGTCATCTCCCTGATGTAATTACAGTGACAATCATTACATTTAATTCTATAAATCACCGACGATCTTTCTTCATTGGGCAATGGCTCTTTGGGGTGCATTACCTTCGCATGTAGGGTTTGATTCGGCTTATGCGCTATGTTGATGTTATACGGTGCCAATATCCATGCTGTTGCCTCTGATATGCCATTGATATACGGTAATGTTGTCCAGATTGTAGTTGTTTGTCTATTTTGTGTACTGCGAGGCTCTTGTTGTCTGCTGTATTGTCGGATAAAGTCCACTGGGTAGCAGATGCACCTGCATATGCAATAGAAATGATTCTGTTCCTCAGTATTTGCCTTCTTTGTGCTGCAGTGAGTGCCTATGCGCTTAAACAATGTTCTAATGCAGCCGATCTTATGTGATGTGGGGTGGTTACTCCTGTAATGCAAAATCCTGTCTGTATGCATCGTTTTTCAGTGGACGGTCATATGGAGAGTGCCATTGGTTTGGCGGCTGACCAGCACATCTAAGAATGCAAGAGTGCCATTGGTCTCCTCTTCCACTGTAAACTAAATATCTGGGTAGAGTTTAATTCCTTCATGAACCTGGCACTATCCTGGCGTTTGATGATGATAAATGTGTCATCGACATACCTGGCCCAGAATTTGGGCTGGTACTTGGACATCACTTTGGATTCCAGCTGTTGCAGGACAGCCTCTGGGATGATCCCCAAAATCGGGGATCCCATTGGCATGGCCTACACCTGCTCGTAGATGGTGCCATGGAATGTAAAATATGTCCTGAGGCACAGGTTCATCAGTTGGATGAGGTCTTCTGTGCAAAGTGGGTCATGGTGTCGTAGTTCCTCCTGTTGTAGTCGGCTTCTTATTACAGAAATGGCCAGATTTTGTGAAATGGAGGTAGAAAGAGATGTTACGTCAAATGACCTCTGGTTTTTTACTCTGATGACGTTGGCAGGGGACCAACAAAAGCTTAGCTAATAAACAGCTGTTTTTTACAGTTATCCTGGAGGTCGTTGTTTTTCTACTGTTAATATGAACATACCCAGGATTCGTATTTTTAAAGTAATTAGGGATATATATATATATATATATATATATATATATATATATATATATATATATATATATATATATATATCAGAAATTTCTTTAAAAATGTGATCCCTGGGTAATTCCATATTAGAACAGTGAGAAAACACGAGCACCAGGGAATATGATAAAATAATTTGGTTTAATATTAAAATTACTAAAATTACTAATAAAATCAATTAAAACGCCTAGCTTTCGTCAGCTATCTGCTGACGTCCTCAGGGCTCAAGATGTCAGTCCATGGGAGTCACTTTTGTAGCTTGACTA